GAACAGCATGTTACAATTTCAAATAAATCATATGCGAAAATGCCAAAAGTAGTGGATAGAATTACATATGGTATGTCATTCTATTCACAGTGTTATTTTATATCGAATAAAATAAAAAAAATACTGAGAGTGTCATTTAAAAATCAAAAGTTGTAGTCATTTCCGGTGAAACAGGAAGTGACCGAAAACAATTGAATACGTCAATCAATCGTGATTTATATCCTATACTATCGAACTAAATCGCATTTTTTATCTGAAAAAATAAAAAAGTTATAAGTTATACACTTTTGAGAAACATCTGGTATATAATTTATGTTTAAATATATTAAAACAATTATATCCATATGGTATGTAAATTTAGATATACCAGGTAGTCAAGAGTGGACAAATAGTACATATATTCAAGCTGAGGCAACCTGATATGCAGATGGCTCAAGAACGTCACAAGGCTGGAAAAATAGAGCTTAAACATTGAGTAACTCTCCCCGTAAGCCTATCCAGGGATGTGACAATTTTTCAGGTGGAAATAATGGTATATTATGTACTAGAAATAATAAGGCTGGAAAGGACACACCGTCCACTTTCCATTTTCACAGGCACGCTAAAGGTACTAACTTAATTCCACAGAGGTCAATCAATCTGGTCACAAGGGTAAGGAAAAGAACGACAGAAGGCAAAACAAGGCTCCATCAATGCGATCCATAGGTCCAGAACACTTCTGCTTTTCTGCAAGAGCAGTTACGAAAATGGTCACGAAACAGTGGGTAGTCCAGAAATCTCTAGAATGTTGGAAAAAGAAACATTTCAAAATAAGGTACTAAGAAACGTAGTTGGTGCTCCATGGTATATTCCAGACGAGGAACTCCATTAGAATCTAGTGATTGAACTTGTCTTGATGAATATAGAGGTAGCTGTATTACTAGCTGAGGCAGTTTTATTTCTCAACAACAGTTTTATCAGCAGAAGATTAAAAATGAAGAAATACCTAGTTAGGATTAATGTTACTAATTGGTTATTCCTGATCATCTTACTAATAAAAACCATAATCTAGAGAAACGTGTCTTCTAATCCCTTCTTGTGTTTTCCTTGGTTAGTCAACACAGATGATTTAAAATAGAATATGTACTACCATTTTTTTATAATAAGGACCACCCATATTTGAAACAATTCATTTCATTTCTGAAAGTCGAACAGTACAATTATGTTAATTGGTACCAGTGATGCAATATTACAAATCTTCAGTTAGTCCACGATCTAGTTTTGGATTTTAAAGATAGCTATTTTAGCGTGCGAATGTTTTGATTTCAATAATATTACTAAAATGGCTTTATTACAAAATGGGAACGTATAGATTGTATCTTTACTGTGGGACTATGTCTCGTTTGTTTTCTTACATAATATGTTAACTTAGTTAGAGCTAATATTTACCTTATTCTTACTAGATCTACATCCCTGTACTGTACAATCTGCACAATCACAGGGTGGTTCGAACTATATTCCGGAAACTTCGGCAGTATATTCTGCAGATAAAAATAAGTAAAAAAGTTCGTAAACTGTATGTCATAAAATGCTTAGTTTCAGAGATACAGGGTGTAGAAGTTTCATTTTTATTTCGATTTTTTTCTAAATAATTTCTTAAATAACGTCAATATTTGGATGAAAATTGGTGTCTGGAGTTTTTTGGCATGAGAAATTTGATTTTGATGTCAATATGATTCCTAGTAGTAGAGAGCGCCACCTACGTGTATTTTAACTGTTTTGAAGCGTAATAACTTTTTGTCCGTACCTGTATAAAACTACCGGGTGAAAAAATATACATCTCTGTGATTTTTTACGTAATAAATATCTCTTTGCAAAAATCGCTACGAGCAACCGTTCTTAAGATATTTAGAATGGAAATAGTAAATACATGTCATTATTGACGAAAAATAAACACGTTGAGTGGATAGTTATTTCACTGAAATAATAAATTTGGGAAATGTTTATTTTTTTAAATTAATCATAAATTTTTCTGCAAAAAATGATGATAAAACAGTTTCTGTTGAACATTTGGCACACAAACATTTCAAATTTATGATTTGAGTCTAATAACTATAATATTTAGTCAACATGTTTAATTTATGTCAATGATGACAAGTATTGATAATTTCTATTCCAAATATCTCGAAAACCATTATTCGTAGCGGTTTTTACCAAGAGACCTTCTTCGCGTAAAAAATGTCGCAAATGTATATTTTGTTACTCAGTAGTTTTATATAGGTACGGACGAAAAGTTATTACTCTTCAAACCAGTTAAAAATATGTAGGTGGCCCCCTCTACTAGTAGGAGTCATATTGACATCAAAATCAAATTTCTCATGTCAAAAAACTCCCAGACACCAATTTTCATCCAAATATTGACGTTACTTCAAAGATTATTTGGAAAAAATCGAAATAAAAATGAAACTTTTGACACAAAATTATAACCTGTGATTTGGCAAAACTTTGACAAACCTCAAAAATCTAAAGGCGAGTTCATACGCATCGGCGCGGCGTCCGTTTGTCGTTCATCGTTCCGTCAAACCAATAAAATAGAAACACGATCTGTCATTTTTGAAATAAACCAATAAAACTGGTTGAAAACAACAAGAGGCGACGCATGACGGTTTATATTTAAATCCATCCATAGTCAACTTAAAAAATATTATAAACTTTTTTTAGTAAAATAAATAGATTGGTATGGGACGTCATCTGCTTTTCTTCTGTCATCTTCTGTCGAAATCTTACCTGAGAAAAAAACAGTATAGTTTACATTTTGTATAAATTGAGTTAAAACAAATCAGTGTATATGGTTAGTCATTCTTATATTAAACATGTTTAAGGGTATCTATAAACGCTAATTGAGTTTTTATAGTTAGATACCAATTATTAATATAAACCATTTGAAAAAAAAATATTTGTTGACCTCAAATAACAACTGACCAAGATACTAACAATTCAGTCGATAAGAATATTATTGAATGTTAACATTTCTGGTGATAAATCTCTAATAGTATTCACATTAAAGCCAATAACTGCAGATAATTATATCTGTTGTTTTAGTAAAACATCAATTATAGCGGCACATTGTTCCAGTTCTAAACACAACAACAATAAAGACACCGATTGAAAAACTGCCGCGCTTTGCATTTACTTTCCGTTAACGGTTTCTTGAATTTTGTATTTCAACTCGCATTTTTAATGTTAATACTTTACAACGATTATGTCTTGGATATAACTGGCTTGGAATAAGTGATTTTTTAGAAAAAAAATCAATTACAACAACGGAATTTGAATAATCACAACGGGATGTCAAGAAACGGGAACAAGGTTGAAAGTGAACATTATTGGACTGATTTTTTTTTATTATAATGACACCTACACAAATATTGGGTTCTTTAACAATAGTAATATACAGTGTTTTATTTTATAGCTTGCTTATACCGGGTGTCTTTGAAAAATAAGCAATTTATACATATAACCAGAGTAAGTAGATCGCCGAGTAGCGACAGAAACCGTCGACTCTTTTGATGTGGTGGGACCAAATTTTCTTTCTCTCTCTTTTGACGTGTTTGACAGATAGACTACGTATTTAACTGCTCAACTTATGAAGTGGTCCTATAAACATGGTATACATTGCTCATAATTTGAAGTGGAATTAATTATAGTTTTATACATATTTTTTCTGTTTTGTTTTATCCTTATTTCTAAATTTGAATGTATAAAATATCTTACAGCTAATAAATAATTAAAAAAACGATTCGTTGCCTGAGGTATACTTGAAATAAAATATATAGAGATATTTGATAAATGGCAACAGTGGCAACTTCGCTTCTTCATATGACAGATAACCTACTTATTTGGCGCAGCCGCAAAGAAAATTGAAAACGGGACTCGTCGCTACTCGTCGGTTTACTTACTCTGACTAGGGTTTTGACTTGGTCTACCCACCTCTTAGGTGACCTTCCACGTGATCGTCTTCCGTCTACCTTCCCCTCCACCATCAGTCTCTCAATTGAGGTGCCACTCCTGGCAATATGGCCAAAATATCGGAGGATTGACTGATTTAATCTGGTAACCAGCCGTGTCTCAATTTTTAGTTCCTTTATAATTCGTTTTTAGAGTTCCTCTATAATTAAGTTTGTTCGGTAAGCCGTCCATGGTATTCGCAGCAGCCGTCGATATACCCACATCTCCAAGCCATTTATTCTTTGCTTATCGCTTTCCTTTAGTGTCCATGTTTCGGAGCGATATATAGCTATTGGGAATATGAGGGAGTTCGCAATGCGCAGTTTACTTCTTCGTGTGATTGCTGAAGTCTTCCATATCTTAGTCAGCTTTTTTGTTGCATTCCTCGCCATCTGCGCCTGATTTCTGCCTCGCATCCTCCAGAGTTTGCTATCATGGAGCCTAAATAGTTGAACTGGCTCACAACCTCGTATCCAGCTACGGTTCGGACATCAGGTTGGTTATTGCTGAGGCGGTCAACAATCATCGTCTTAGTTTTCCCCTTGTTTAGTTCCAAGCCATATTCTGCACTAATAGAGCACAGTGCAGTCATGACTTCCTACAACTCTTCTTTGCTGGCGGCTATAATCATAATACTAATACACCTGGCTTATTTCTACTTTTAAACGATTCCTCTTGTACCATACACAGAAAATGATTTTGTGTCAGAGGTTCAACAGAAACTGTTTATATTTAATATTTTGATTAATTTCAAATATAAAAAGTGTTCCAAAATTTATCATTTCAGTCAAATAACTATCTAGTCAGCATGATTACTTTTTTGTCAATAATAACATGTGAAGAATTAAGTTAGCATATGGCAGAAACTCAATTATATTGAAATCTAAAATGCCACTTGATTTAAAGAAGAGAACATATTCGACCAATATGTACTAACAGTCATAACCTATGCATGCGAAACCTGGACAGTTAAAACGGACATTATAAGGAAACTGCAAACTGTACGTTGCACAATGCTCATTGGAACGAAATATTCTGGGAATAACCAAGAAAGACCGTAAAAGAATAGCGTAGATACGATAAAAGACCCAAGTAATATATATCATCCATGGTACCTACGAGGAATTAAGAGACCTAGAAGAAGACTAAACCTGAAGTGGGACCGTGATATTAGTAAATTAGCAGGGATAACTTAGATCTGCATAGACAACAATAGATAACAATGTAGCGTTTTTTAAACCACTACCACTGCGAACGGCAGCTTTTCATCGGAGAGCAGTCGTAGATAAGGTATTTCACTAGAGAGAAAATTAATCAGTAATAATTAACAAAAGATATATAGATATTGGGCGCCAGGCATGTACAGAGAAAGAAAACACAGTTGTATAATACTTAAAACTAATGACTATATTTATTCATGACGTTCTTTGCTGATACATGACATTGTAGAGTTCTATATAGTGGTTATAAGAAAAGAAAGTGGTGGTAAGAGTCGTACTAAATATCAATGAAAACAACTACGATAAAATACAGGACATGTAAAGTTTAAGAGAAAATATGAAATGTAGCATTACTTTAATTAATCTGATATATTCCATATGATGCTAAATCGAAGATGTTACACCTGTAGATTCTAGAATCTATGTTTGATTATCCATCTATTAAAATAGTGCAATAATATCTATAAAAGTAATACCATTACAAGATGTAATGCAATGAAACCTAAGATCTAAATTATATTTTAAAGATTATATCGACATGAATGTTCTTAACAATCTAACCACTGAACATAGTCTGTACGATATTACTTAAAGATGTACGTTATTGTTTAAGACTGAAAATGTTTTAGATGTTAAATGTAAAACTAGAACTTAAATATACACTTAGCTGTTCTTTTATGTAACCTTGCTTCAAACAGTAGCAGCGTGAGGTGGTCTAGCATCTATGTACTGTCTGTCGGCGATCCTGTTGGTCAAAACAACAAAAGGGGCCAGATTGAGGACACCATGAATCCTTACAGCCGTAGCTACTGAAGAAATGGGAGTGAAGCAGCATGGGACTCAAGCTACATCCACGCTGTGGCACTTAGATGTAAGAAAAAATCGTTCTTACTGGGGACACTCGTCCACAGGACATCTGTACATAAGAGAATGTCTGTACATAAGGCACTACCCGTACCTTGGACACAGTCCGTACCTTGGAAATAGTCCGTACCTTGGAAATAGTCCGTACCTTGGAAATAGTCCGTACCTTGGACACAGTCCGTACCTTAGACACAGTCCGTACCTTGGACCCTAAAAATATGAAACTCTTGTTTAAAACCAAACAAGGTCTAATAAACAAAATAAACCTACCTCGAAATACTTCCGAGGGCTCAATAAATAATAAACAACATGTCCTTTCTTCCATGTGACATTCTGGAGGACAAAAGAAAAGGGACGCCAACGTGTCAGCAAAACACAAATACAAGTTGGGACATCCGTAACTCTACCCTAAAAATATTCAATAATAATATCGAATCTAAAAGGATAATATCTCATCTTTACCTGTTGCTTTGAAATAGCAGCTGATTCAGATTATACAGCAAGATTTAAATAATCACCATTTCTAAAAGCTGGGATAAAACAGAGCGTCAAAACAAAGTGAGGTTAAGCACGGAGAGTTGACAGAAGCGATGTTGACAGCGCGCGCCTTCACAGAATAGTAACAGGGTTGTGTCGAACGATCACAGGGTTGGTGACCAGGGAACGTAAAAATTACGCGTCAAATAGTCTATCCGGCCTGAACGAGAGGGAATCCGGTGATGATAGGCCCAGACATCATATATTATATATAAAAAAGACATGTAACGAACTAAAAACGTTACAACAATGTGCCCAGCTACAAGGAGAGTATCTAAATATGTGAGGGAGGCTACACCATAATTGGAAATGGTTGAATAAGGCTGAAAATAATGATGATGATGATGTATTACTTAATAAAATTATGCATTTGATGACGCTAATATAAAAGTGCATATTAGAATTACTAGAATTTTAAATAGTGAAGAAGTAGCAGTTACTCTGTTATCTGGGGGATTTGGGGGTAATCGGTCTCAAAGGCTTTTTCTCAATTTCTATGTTGACGTTGGTAAAATTATGATATATTTCGATCTTTTCTTTGAAATCCTCTACTTTGCTTTGTCCTTTAATAATTGAGATATGAGAGCAAATAAAAAAAATGTTACTTTGGTGTAGATACATTTAGGAAGCAGATCACATTTTGGATACTATTAAATGAAATCTGATAACAATATAATAATATTAGTTTATTTTCAGGTTATATAAATTACACGAGTTATAATATATATCCTACATTTTCAGTTACTTACAAAAAGGTCTAGCCAACAGTTAACTTGATCATAGCATTCTACCGACAGACTTTGCTTGTTCTCACTCCATCTCTATTCAAATTTGAATTTAATTTTCATTCACTCCACTCTTAAACGAATTAATTAAATTGAAATGCATGGCCGAGTTCACCTGTGTTCTCCACCAGCAGCGCCTTGGCTTCCGACAGCGGGAACGAGAATAGTTTTTCGAAGCTTTCGGAGAGGCTTTAATTTTAATAAGTCATCCCTACCAGTTTTTCAATTAGGAAAATGCAAATTCTCGTAGCAATTAATTTGACCTCAAACTTGCCAACGCGACGGAAGAAATGCGGGAAGAAGCGTTGAGAGCTTCATTTCGGCGATTTAGAATTTGAATTGTAAAATTTTTAACACTTATTTGTTTTAATCGAAAATAAATATAAACCCAGGTGCTTTCCCCAATGAAAAATATAAACTTCCCCCATCCCAATTCCCTGTTTTTTTTTATTAACTTTGGGAACATAAAGGTTGATTCTCACTATACCTTCCATATCAGCTACCTTCTGTTTCCCTTCCGTTTACATAAAATATTATATCATGCAAATGAATAGGACAATGCACACTATCTGTTCCGTTTCCCTTCCGCGTTCCATATCCTTTCCTTCCATACATTTTTTTGGCGGACGGACTGAAGCGTATCGGAAACAGCGTTGTCAATTCCTTACAATTGTACCAGCTCTTTTACATTTTACTAATATTTATTTATTCTTTCACCTCTTAATTAAATCTGTTATCTTTTTTAAAAGATACAAATTTTTAAAATAAAACTTTCGTAATATAAATTGTACAATAAAAAGTATGGAACTGATACGGAACGGAAGCACACGTATAGTGTGAATACAATAAAAAAATACGGAACGGATATAGAATGGATATGGAATGGAAACGGAAGGTATAGTGAAAATCAACCTTTACATAGAAAAATAATTTCATACTTTTATTTCTCTATTTGCCAAAGGTGTTTAAAGCAACATTAGAAGAAATCTTCCGTCAATACGACTGGACCAAGAAAGGAATAAGAATAGATGGAGGATATCTTAACCATCTAAGATTCACTGATGACATAGTGCTAATTGCCACTTCTAACAACGTTGTGCCCCTACAACGTTTACCAACGTTGTTAAGGGTCAAAATATACTACTGTTTAAGTGCAACGTCGTAGCGATGTTTTGGCTACGTGATTTGAGGTTTGGGTATGCATAGGGGCGGGAAAAGTACCAATTTCAACGTTGCGCCTAGTCAAAACTAGTCGGAAGTCGGAATTTTGTTACTTGGGAAGTTTTAAAATTGACACAGTATATTTGGACAACTAATACACAGCTCGGGATCTCTATAAGCAAGAAATCAACAGACGAATTCATTAAGTTAGCATGGAGTACTATGGAAGAAACTCAATCTTATTCAAATCTAGAATGCCACTTTATCTAAAAGAAGAAAACTTTGGACCAATGTGTACTACTCTCGTCATGACCTATGCATCTCGAAACCTGGACACTTAAAACGGACATTATCAGGAAAATGCAGGTCGCACAACGCTCAATCGAACGAAATATGCTGGTAATAAACAAGAGAGAGACCGTAAAAAGAATAGAGTGGAGGAGGGATAACTAGGGGAGAATAGTTAGCAAGGATAACTTGGGCCCACCGCCAACAATAGACAACAATGGGCCCAACTACAAAGAGTGTATCTAAATATGTGAGGGAGGCTACACCATAATTGGAAATGGTTGAATAAGCTGAAAATTATTTCTTTATTAATTACTGCAGTATTGCCAATACGATTCCTATTTCGTAAATTATATCCTTAGGATTATCTACTTCAAATCCATCCGGTTACTTGAAAAAAACTAACTATATTTCATTCTATACGCACTACTTAAGACATATCAAACATTGTGCTCTAGTTCTCAAGAGGTTGCCGTAACACAATCTAAAACAACTCATTAAGTGGCAAATAAAGGAGCCACTGACTATCACACCACCGCTGCACTGTTGGTTAAGCTGAACGTACACGCAAAAACTATAGGTTTTCTGCAGAACATTTATCTAGTACCTCCTGTCAAACTTACTGGCGTAGTGCATTATTTAATATACCTGCAATACGGTATTTTCTTTCTTCCTAACAGTTAACGGAAAAAATATTAGCTTGTTAAAAGGCATCCGTTATTTTACCTATATTTTTGTTAAATTTGTTATTTGATGTCTATTTCAGAAAAAGAGAGATTGTAGATTTCAACTACCTAAATAAAAAAAAATATATCTATAAACTATTCTTAGGTAAATTGTAAGTTTTATAGTTTTTTTGCATTTGGGGGTCAAATAGCTTAAAACTAAGAATAGTAACGAGCAAATGCAAGAGCAAGACCAAGACCTCTCTTTGTCTTGGTCATAGTTTTGCAGTCTTCAGAAAAATTGGATGTAAATAGAGAGTGTAAGATTGCAAGAGTCTTGGCGTAGGTCTGACCTACAACTTATTTTATACTGCATTAATCAAATTAAACGATGATTAATAATATATTATTTCTTCTTACTATGCAATTTCTTTAATTTTTTAGGCATTAAACAAATAATTACTCTATGAACACAATTTATTCTGAATAAAATTGAATCTATGTGTGATAGGATCATCTCAATTTGTTTTGGTTTGGTTTGTAGTCAAGACGTCAATATTTTCATGAAATATTCATGTCATATATTTCTCTTTTACCACTCAATAGTCTGTCCAACAGTAACTGTTCTCGTCTGTCATTTCAAATCAACAGCAAATTCATTTTTCGATGTCGTTTGTCGAAGTTGTTCTTTGTCTTTTTGGGCATACTTTATATTGTATTAATGATAAAGTATTGTTTTAAACAATAACACTATACATGTAACTTAAGAATTACTGATGAAAAGTACCGTATGATTGAAAAAAAAAACAGCGCCAAGTTGGCTTGGGAGTTACAATCCATGACATTTACTGTAAGTAGGTACATTATAATTTTTCATTTTTGTCATTTTTAAGCCAACTCTGACGGCTTTTTTTTTTCATTCGAATGGTATATTTTTTCTTTGTGTACATCCTTTTTTTGCAGAAAACACGCATTGCGTGTTGCTTCTATTATGTCGCCACAATTAATGCTATCTTGAGAACATTCGTTATTAAATTATTCACCCACATGATTTTTCAATTACATTTTCTCATCAAGTGTTTTATTCTTATTTACTTCTCGTATTCGTTGACAAGTTATACTATTTTTTGTCGCCATTGTTTTATCCCCAACTTTTCTTTAAAAAAACTACAAACAATTATTTTTTTTATTAAATTGCATGCTCTGGTATCTGAAATTCGTTTTTGGTTCCTGACCTGCACACACTAATGATACCATTCGTTAAGTAGTACATAAGTAAGTAAAAGCAGTTTTAATTAAATTAGACAAGATATTCTTAGTATTTACTATAGACTTTATTTCACGATAAGATTTTTATACAACGTAATATTATTGATGGTTATATTATTTATACACTTAGTACAGGGTGGTCGACATTGGTCTGTTTTGACAGAGAAAACCTATTTACTGACTAGATAGAGCCAAACCGATATAGGTCTCTGGCCTTGGTTTCTGAAACATGTTTCAGGGTATATTATACCGCTTGTCGATATTTTTACTTCAAGTCTATATACAGGGTTGTTTTGAATTGTCGACTATTTTGAGAATTGAATAAAATTCTGTTAAAACATTCTTAAACGTGTCTTAATCGGTTTTTTTCTATACCTACGCTTTTGTCAGAAATAAAAAAATATATATTTTTATAAATGGAAATCATAGTTAGCTATAAACTTCAAAAAAAACTCTCGTGTTCCTTGCCAACGATATGTTATAGGTGTATATCACATAGACATACATCCAAAAATGAGGAAATATTAGGTTTTTTTTATTAGGTCTTTTCCTTCATTATTTTATTTAGATTCATAGAATCATAAATTTGAACAACCTGTACAAATTATAAGAAGAGCTTATAATTTTATTAATAGTTTGTTTTACAGAGGTGAGACATTTAAATTGTATAAATTAATTACTATACATAACTATTGATATCCCCAATAAAATCATAAAATGGCAATTAATTATTTTTTATTACTCTTTCTCTTGACCTTTCGCTAAACACGAAGTAATTTCATTTAAATGTCAAATAAGTATTTTTCCAATCTCAGTTTTGTTTATATCCGCATTAGAGTTATTTCTTTGATTTAAACTATTTCGTTGAGCAATATTTTAAAAATATTATAAAATGCATATTATTAAAATTGAATTATTAGTTTTTCTTAGGTTTTTTTAAGTATTTTATAAAAAAAATAAAACTTATTATTATTTCATTTGTTACCAGATTATTTCATTTGTTCCAGACTACCACCTGGAATGCCAGATCTTCGCACTTGCCTCCTAAACCAGAAACTCCAGATGCTCAACTGTTGCCTGGAACGTAAAATAGCGAGGGAAAATGCCAAGTTCTTCTCCACAGAAGATTCTGGAGATTCTGATGAGGAATTCTTCGATGCCAATGATGACGAAGTCGATCGTAGGGAATATTCGTTGTGGGACAAGCCTGTGGGTAGATTGAGCAAGTTCGGCGAAATGAAGCTGTTGAAGACTGGAGATCCGTTATATATTCCGTTTACGCAGGATCCGGTGTTGAAAACTGAAGATCAACTGGAAGAAGATACCGGTAAATGTTTTTAACAGGATTATCTGAATGAAAACGTTTTCTTTACAATCATTTAAAAAAAAATGTGTGCATTTAGATGGTATTTCTTCTCATATTTATTCTGTTTATCCTATATACAGGGTGTTCCAATATTCTATGGACATTCCAATGTTCCAACGTTCCAAATAATATAAAAGAATTTAAAAGTAATACCTTCTAAGTAATTATATATCGAGAAACTATGATTACGCTCTTTGAATTTGACATTTTATGTCAGTTTAATAATATATTTTCGTACTTTTATGCTTAGTCGTAAAAGTGCTTTAACTTTTATGCCTAGGCGTTAAAATGTCTTTTTTATATTGTCAATCACGTTGCAAAAATTAATACTTTTGTGACGTTTGAAAAAAACATCATTTTTTAAACCCTTTTATTTCGCGCTGTATTATTTAGATCACCTACAAGGTGTGATTAGATTTATATTAATATATGAAATGTTAAAGCATTTTCCTTTTATTCATATTTTTATTTCAGCTTTCTATCGCATGTACGAAATGAAATACTTTCTCGGACCTTTTTTGTTTGATACAGAAAATTATGATATCGTGCTAGTCACATCCTAATTGGTTTTACTTTCGGTACTTGGCGAGCTTTTTTCGATTAGGCAAAAGTAAAAAGAAGACGGGCGGATATGATATGAAAGTTGATCGCTTTGATCATTCAGATCATAAAGAAAAATAAATATCTACTTACTAATGCTTGTAATGCTTATAGTATTAGGATATGTTAAGACGTTTATTATTCCTACACTGACTGGTCATCGAAAAATAAATACCTTAAAATTTTCATGTATACGTGCAAATATTTTCAGGGCTTATAGTTTCAGGGCTCTGGAAAAAAGTTCATGCCTCTTTCGCGTTGTCTGCCGGCATTTTAGCGACGAGAAAAATGTCTGCCAACAATTTTTCACGTTTCTTAATAATAAATACAAGCTATTTTTGCAATTATAACTCCTGTACCTTATAATATTTTTAAAGTAAAAATTTCACCCTTTCGATTGGCCGCCCCCGTTTTAAGCCCCGGGATCAACGTGTGTTAAGTTAGCACAACCACTTAAAAAAAATGTATGAAACTATGTGGAATAATTGCCGTAAATTAGCCGTAAATTTACCGTGAAAACGAAAAATTTGCCGCTCTTCGCTAAGTATGTTAAATCGATGGTTGTGCTAAGTTGATTATTAAGTTTAATAATTAATTAGATTATTAATTAATAAGATTATTAAGTTAGCACAACCACCATTGGAAATCAGTGAAAGAACATAGTTAGAAATTTTACAGTATAGCAAGAATTTGCCGTTTTTTTGCCGTTCTTAGATACAATTAAAAAAAATGTCCTCCGATCATTCTCTATCCCCCTGCAACAAAAAATGTAATAGCGTCAAGGTTTATATATTAAGTTAGCACAACCATTCCTGTAAACGTTAAGTAAAATGTCTGAAATTAGGTGGAGCAATTGCCGTAAATGCAAACCAAAAATTTGCCGCTCTATTATTTGTTTATAAAAACGACAATTTTTTTAATTGACGCAAGATTGCAAATTTTTGTAGACCAAATTTTCAAGAACACGCTATTATACAGTACTTCCTGTTAAAACTTTTTAAAATTCTTCGAATTTAGAATTTTCAGAGGGCTTTAAATAAGCAGTAAATTTAGTTTAAAAACGTTTATATTTCAAAAACCATTAGGTATAGTATATGACATTATGGTATTTTTGAAACAGAAATTTAGTGGCAAACCCACTGAGCTAAAAAAGTATATAGTATTCCATTTAAAAATATACAACTTTGGTTTGAAAATATGTTCGAATCACCCTGTATGCTGACAAAAATATTTTTAAAATATGCGTTACCATTGCCTCCATATTACATAAAAAAATGAAATGAAATTCACAAACCAAAACCTAACATAGAGTTTTTTCGGAAGCCTGAGTCACCCTGTAGATTTTATAGAGAAATAAAAGAGCGACAAATTTTTCGATTTCACGGCTTGTTTACGGCATATTCCTGTTGTTCTATAAAGTAATTATTGATCCCATTTAGTGAATTTTAAGAAAAATCGCGCTAATTTAACGTTATCGTTTATGTTAATTAAAAAAATTATCGATTTTCTAAACAAATAATAGAGCGGTAAATTTTTGGTGTATTTACGGCTAATTTACGGCAATTGTTCCATCTAATTTCAGGCATTTTACGTAACGTTTACTGGAATGGTTGTGCTAACTTAATATATGACCTTGACGCTATTACATTTTTAGCTGCAGGGATAGAGAATTTTCTTATTAAATATCGATTTTCGGCATAAGAAGCACTTAATAAAACAAAAAGATTAAAAAACACCTTGTTCGATTATGAGACAAAATACAGGGTATTCCATTTAAAATAGTAGATAAAATAACAACATTTAGTTTTGACTTACCTTGTATATATCAAACAAGATAGCAAATGTTGGTAGACCGAATTTTGAAGAAGACACTTTTATACAGTACTTCCTCTTAAATTTTTTTAAAATTCTTCGAATTTAGAATTTTCAGAGGACTTTAAATAAGCAGTAAATTAAGTTTTAAAACGGTTATATTTCAAAAACCATTATGTATAGTATATGACATCGGGGTATTTTGAAACAGAAATTTAGTGGCAAATCCACTGAGCTAAAAAAATATATAGTATTGCGTTAAAAATATACTTTAGTTTGAAAATATGTTTGAATCACCCTGTATGCTGACAAAAGTATTTTCAAAATGTGCGTTACCATTACCTCCATATTACATAAAAAAAATGAAATGAAATTTACAAACCAAAAATCTAACATAGAGTTTTTTCGGAAGCCTGAATCACCCTGTAGATTTTATAGAGAAATAAAAGAGCGACAAATTTTTCGATTTCACGGCTTGTTTACGGCATATTCCTGCTGTTCTATAAAGTAATTATTGATCCCATTTAGTGAATTTTAAAAACAAATAATAAAGCGGCAAATTTTTGGTTTGCATGGTGTATTTACGGCTAATTTACGGCAATTGTTCCACCTAATTTCAGATATTTTACTTACCGTTTACTGGAATAATGGTGCTAACTTAATATATGACCTTGACGCTATTACATTTTTTGCTGCAGGGGGATAGCGAATGATCGGAGGATATTTTTTTTAATTGTATCTAAGAACGGCAAAAAACGGCAAATTCCTGCTATACTGTAAAATTTCTAACTATGTTTTTTCACTGATTTCCAATGGTGGTTGTGCTAACTTAATATTAACTTAGCACAACCATCGATTTAACATACTTAGCGAAAAGCGGCAAATTTTTCGTTTTCACGGCAAATTTACGGCTAATTTGCGGCAATTATTCCACATAGTTTCATATATTTAAGTGGCGGTACTAACTTAACACACGTCCGGGATCACGCTGGCAGACATGACTATTTCATAATGGCTACACAAAAGGATACTTCACAAGAAAAATTATCCATGTAACGATAATTAGGTTTTTTATGTAGCCAGCTCTCCGTCTAAGACGATTATCTTAAAATAGTAGGAAACTGGACTTGATTGATTTTAATTCTGACCACTCCATATATCAGTTTTTGGTAAATTGAAAAACTATTGATATTTTTTATTATGACCTAAAGAATATTAGTAAATTCTATATTTTTTAAAGCTATTTTATTAATCCTCTCAAATAATCCCCTCTCCATTTTTGTTGCAGATGTGCTTTTGAAGCTGGGCTCCGACCAAGAGGCCTCCGAATTGAGGGCGCGAATCATGAGCGCCAGCCTCTTATCCGATATGGAGTCGTTCAAGGCGGCTAATCCCGGCTCGGTGGTGGAGGACTTTATCAGATGGTAAAGTGCACAATCTCGATGGCTTTCGAAGTTATTTTTGAAGTTCGATGGCTTTATCGTGGGTTAATTTAATTTAAAAGTTTCTTAAAGAAGAATTTAGTTTAATTGATTGCTATATTTAGGGAAGAGTATAATTTCTAAACTACTGATAAATAGTTTAGAAATGAAAATCTATTCTTAATAGAAAACTGTTTCATTTTTGAGACTGACACTTTTTGTTCCTGATATATTCGTTGCTACAAATGTAGATTGTATGGGAAGGGAGATTCGGGACAACATCGATATCAGGTCTAAGAGGAGGCCAAGTTAAAGAGATGGAGAAAATTGACACAGGTCCTCCAGCCTCTACCTCACGGAGAGCCGGATACAAGCTCCTCGACTGTGAAGGGCAGGGAGTGCCAAACTCCAACCGTGGAAAGATGTATATCCTCGGAGGAAGAACGTCTGTTGTTAAAGGAGGATGGGAAATACCCTATCCCCCCTACAACAGGAAAACCCTCATGTTTGACGGGTTACAGAATGTGTGATGAGTGATAACTCAGGGAAGGGGGGACCCCCCCTCCCATTCTGCATTCTATATAAGAAGGGGAGGTTAATCACCGTGACCTTATATATCTATTTTATATCTTGCTTGAATTATAACTCATCATCCAGTCTCAGGGCTTCGATAAAAGCCAATATCTGAGACGGTTTTACAGAGGTTAGTTATCCATCTCCGATATCAGGCGTACCGAAGTTTATGACACGAACGGTTGTCGTCTCGACGCACTCAGTAATGAAGTGTTCTAGTGTTTCCCCATTTTCCCCACAGAATCTGCATTCGCCGTTGCTTCTTAGCTTCAATCTACTGATGTGTTCATTTAGGAGACAGTGTTAAAAAAAACCGTGAATCCGAAGATTGTTCATACTTATTCGTTGCTAAAATGTTGTAAAATGGAGAATATTGATTTGTTTTGTATATTTCTCAAATTACTCAAGAGCTGTTTGGTTTGGTTTTCTTAGTAAAATTATAGTAACTATTGGGAAGGATATTTTAGTTGCAATCTCAGACATTTCGATTTTTGTCAAAATTTGCTTGGGGAGACTTTGAACTTTTTTCGAAAAATCGATTTGGCTTAATTTACAACACAGGGTGGCGCACCTCATTCGCCTCGGTTGATTATACGAAAACGGAAAAATGTAGAAACAAAATATTTTATGGTTATATGTGGGGAGCTAATGTGCACAATTTAAAATTTACACAAAGTTATATTTTTTCTTATAGAACACCCGGTATTTTATTTCATTTTTGGATTCTTGGGCCCAAAAAAGGTATTTATTATAAGGGTTAAACATGTTTAAAATCTTTAGTTTTTGAGATATTGAAAGATATTTAAATTTGCATGCTACAATAGAATAAATTATTAACACCCTGTACATTACTTTTCAGAATTAGTTCTTGTGCTGAGTTTAAAGGTAACACCTCGTATATTTCAAAATAATTTTAAATTGTGCACATTGCCTTTCCAGATATACCCCTAAAATATTTTGTTTCTACATCTTTCCGTTTTCGTATAATCAACCGAGGCGAATGAGGGGCGCCACCCTGTATATTGTAGACTTAAATGCGCACTTTACACATCTGTTTTTAAGATTTTTCACTTTTTGTTCCTGAAATATTCGTTGCTAAAATACCATAAAATGGAAAATATTAATTTGATTTGTATCTTTTTCTCAAATTACTCTGATGAAAAGATCTGTTAAAGATATCATTCAAAGGTTTAAAAAAAGGTGTCCATTAAATTCTACGCAAATTTAACTATTAGTAAGGATATTTTAGTTGCAATCTCAGAAGATAACAGCCAATATATCTACCTGGTGATAGCGTTGGAAAATTTTCGGAAATATTTCTTAAAGCATTGAAAATACAGAGTCAGAAATAAGTGCCAATATTTTCAGGATTGGCAGATCTCGATAAAAAAACATATTTTTTCTTTAATATTTTTCAAATAAGTCCAAAATAACCAAGTTATTTTATATTGAAAATTTTCGGGAGAAAATCGAAAAAAAAATAAAAAAAATCGACTTTTTACTAAAATTTTAAGGACCACTGGATCTTTTCTGGGTTTTCTTTCTTTTAAGTTTAATCTCTAACCTATGCTGCCATATTATCAAGGTAATTATGATTTAGCTGAAAATTAAAAAAAAATCCAATTTTTTTTTCAAAAAATTCAAAATTTTCTTATTTCAAAAAGATAATCAAAAACAAAAAAAAATGTTGAATTTTCTGAATTGAATGTCAGTGAATTGACATACTTTGCCTCGTAATTTGCTAAAAATTTTCAATCGTCCTCGAAAAATCCTTTAACACAGTATTGCGAACTTTTCAATCTTTGTTGACCGCACCATATAAAAAGATTTAACAAAGCTCAATGTTAAATTTCAAAACTTAACATTTTCCAGGTATTCCCCTCGAGACTGGATTGAAGAAGACAACGAATTGGACGAGTTCGGACAGAAAAAAGGACATTTAAGTCCTAGGATGCAGCTGGAGGACAACATTTGGGTGGAGATGTGGAGAAACGCCAGACCTGTACCGGCAAATCGACAAAAAAGGCTGTTCGACGATACTAGGGAAGCTGAAAAGATTTTACAATTCTTAGGTGAGCCAGCAACTAATTTTATTGATGCTTTATTTTTGTGTAACTACACGAATTTTTTTGTAAACTATTTTACTTTTTTTTAAATATAGAAGGTCCTTCCCATGTTTCAGTGTTATTTCAGTTTTTCACCATATTTTCGGAAATGACAAAGATAAACTCAATTAGTAAACGGATTTTTGCGCAACTTTGCACTAAGTTAAGCCACCCTGTATCTCTTATCGTTTTTTTTTACCGTAACATTGTGTTTTACATACACACATGGCCAAAATCATTGCATACAACGATATTTTTATTTTATTTTGGACCTAATATTATTCTTTTTATATTTTTGGACATATTGGCTTACTACACGACTAACTAATATAAAATTAAAAATCCAATTGCAACTAGGCTGTTATTATAATTTTATTTCATAATGAGTGAAAATCAACAAAAACAAATTTCATTTTAAACAGAAAATATTGAAAACAATAATTTTAATTATTTCTTACAACTAACAGTCTGTATTGCCTCCTCGAGCCTCAATGCAAGCTGTGAGACGATGTGGCATGCTCTCAATTAAATCGTCCAGAAGATGTTGAGGAATGGCTTCCCATGTTTCGCGCGCAGCAATTTTCAATTCATTTAAGGTACGGGAGGGATCATTCCTTTTGGCAATATGGCGTTTTAGCATGTCCCAAGCATGCTCGACCACATTCATATCTGGAGACATCGGCGGCCACCACAGTTTTTTATACCCTCTTCCTCACAAAATTCGCGAACCGCTAAAGTGCGATGGGGAGGAGCATTATCGTCCATGTAAACAAATCGATAGAGTCTAAGATATGAGGCACCTGTCATTGTGCCATCAACGAAAACAAGAGGAGTTCGAGCTCCGTGCATTATACCTGCCTATACCATAATCGACCATAATGCTTCCCCCTTGAAACGGGACACGGGGTTGAGCTGCATTCAAGCGTGCTCGTCTTCCAGATGCTCTCCAGACCAAAGTTCATCGTGAGTCTGACGCTAGGCCTATTTTTGTTTCATCACTAAACATGACGAAATTCCAATTAGGTCCATTTGCTCTCATCTCCTCAGCCCATTGTAGTTGCGTAATTTTGTGCTGTAAATTAAGCTTCGGAACACGTAGAGGCCTCCTTAAATCTAATCCTCTGTCATGGAGTCTTCTTGCTTATTTTAACAAAAAAAAACGTTTATCACAAATTATCAATAATAATTAAAAAAGATTCTTTAAATTCCTTTCCGTATATTTTTAAACTATATATGCAATAATTTTGGCCATGTGTGTACTTTTACATACTGTTCGATTTGGGATTTGAAGACATGAAAAGAGAAACACTTTAACACAGCGTTCTTGTTTTTCAATATAATAAATGTCTTATTACAGCTATACCATTCTTCTAGATTTCAGAACTGTAGGCCAAATAGCCGAACTGGTCGTACCCATCCTAACCCACAGCGCCATCCTGCGTCTGATAGACGAACTAGAGAGTCTACCCACAATACCGTCGAAGCTACAGCTCGCGTCTCATCTCTGCTCAAGCAAGGTGAAAGATAACGCGCGACACCAAGCTGCAGCCGAAAAGGTTCGAGGCTTTCGCACAAGATGTCGCCGAGTTGGAGGTCCGGATATCGCAAGTGAATTCTTTAAATTACAAGCTGAATCCTTCAGGACAGGAGGACGAGGAAGTCAGTAGAGCCATAGGTAAGAAGTGTAGTATTTAAAGTATTTTGTATTCTTTTCTCTTCCTAAATTACGTATAGTCTATTTAACCAACGCTTGGGGAACACACAGTGAGTGTTGTTTCTGTAATTTTAATTCACAATTAATTTGTGTTTTGTGATTTTTTTGAATGCTAACTGTCGAAATCATCTCTGGCTCGTTGAGCAGACTTATAATAAACAGGACGTGTGAAAATAAATATGAAGAAACTTAAAAGGCGATTCCTTGTTGTAAAAAGTAAAAAAGTTCGTATAAATATATGTCCTAAAATGCTTAGTTTCGGAGATACAGGGTGTAGGAGTTTCATGTTTATTTCGATTTTTTTCGAATAATTTATGAAGGAGTAAGGTCAATATTTGGATGAAAATTGGTGTCTGGAAGTTTTTGACATGAGTTATTTGATTTTCATGTCAATATGACTCCTACTTATACAGGGCGCCATCTACATATTTTTTAACTAGTTTGAAGAGTAATAACGTTTCGTCCATACCTCTATATAAGTACTGAGTTAAAAAAATTACATTTACGTCTTTTTTTACGTAAAAAAGGTCTCTTGGTAAAAGTCGCTACGAGTAATGGTTCTCGAGATATTTGGAATCGGAATTATCAATACCTGTCATTATTGACATAAATTAATCATGTTGACTAAATAGTTAATAGACTGAAGTCATAAATTTGAAATGTTTTTGTGCCCAAAGTTCAACAGAAATTGTTTAATAATCATTTTTTCGCAGAAAAATTTATGATTGATTTAAGAAAATAAAAATTTATTTTTTCAGTCAAATAACTATACTCAGCGTGTGTTTATTTTCTGTCAATAATGACATGTATTGACTATTTCCATTCTAAATATCTTAAGAATGGCTCTTAGCGATTTTTACCAAGAGACATTTTTTACGTAAAATGTCATGAGAATATTTTTTTACTCAGTAGTTTTATACAGGTACGGACGAAAAGTTATTACTTTTCAAAACAGTTAAATACATGTAGGTGGCTTAGGCCCCCTACATATAGGAGTCATATTGACATCAAAATCAAATTTCTGGTGTCACAAAACTCCCGGACGCCAATTTTCATCCAAATATTGACGTTACTTAGAAATTATTTGAAAGAAAATCGAAATAAAAATGAAATTTCTACACCCTGTATCTCCGAAACTAAGCATTTTAGGACATACATTTATACGAACTTTTCTACTTATTTTTATCTGCATAATATGCTGCCGAAGTTTCTGTAATACAGTTCGGACCACCCTGTATAAACTTTTTTATTACTGCTATGAAAATACACTATCTGCATATTTTTTACTTTTTTTTAAATTTGTGGAAGGTGGTGAAACGGCTCGGAAAAATATATTTTAAATTGTTTGGCACATTTAGAAAGCTTTTTATCTCCTGTATTTTTTTCATCAAACTTGCCGCTTAAAATTAACATTTTTATCAAGGAATCACCCCTTAAGGGGTTTTGCGTTTGTTTTCAAACATCTTGTATAATAAAATTGTAATATTTCTTTATTGTATCAAAAAGCAATGACTTTTGACCAGGGTTGGAAAAAATCATGATTTTAAAAAAAAAATCAAAAAAATTAGATTTTTTTGATTTTCAGTTTTTGGTTTATCAGTTTTTTTTTATTTAAATCAGATTTTTTTGATTTTAATTCAAAACAATATTTAAATCGGATTTCCAGATGACTAGGACTTATCTCCAATTAAAGTCCTATCCTAAATGGCTAAATCTATACCCCGATACCGATAACATTAACAATTCTACGGGGCGTGTGATTTTTCCACATCGGTCACCAATATATTCTGTAAAAAAAGTCGTTCGCTTCAGATCAAAAGGATTTTTTTTCAAGCGTCTCAAAAGTATTAATTTTTGTCATTTTAACGCCTAGGCATAAAAGTAAAGCACTGTTACGCCTATTCACAAAAATACAGAAATATATTATTAAACTAATATTAAGTGTCAAATTCAAGGAGTGTACTAATTGTTGCTCGATTACTGTTTATATTATTTGCAATGTTTGAAACTGATTAAAAAATTATTTGTAATGTTTAAAAAAAATAGTAAGTATGTTCTATTCGAGTAAAATGTACTTTTGTGCCACCCTGTAACGTCGGAATAGCTTTACGATGGACCTTCAAAGGTATACAGCATCGTCAAAAAAGTTTAATTTTTACTCCTAATAAACTACTTACTGCAGATCAAAATGTCGAGAGGAATTTAGAAACATACAACCGATTCAAAAAAAAATAAAACAACATATTTTCTGACAACGATTATTTATTGATTCTCGGGAATGAAGATATAGTCTCTATTAGAAGAACCTAGTTCTGGGGCCCTAGACTTTGCAAATGATATGTATTCGAACAGCGAATTTTTGTCACTTATACATAAATTTTAAAATAAATCTCCCCGCATTTAGCGATCTAATGGATATACACGAAATTAGTTCAAAAATCGGTCCAACAATAATTAAATTGATGAATAGATATTTTTATATAGTTTTATAACATTTACAATTATTTTTCGACTTATTATCTGTTATATATGTTATAGAAATATTTTTTATAGTTTTCTAGGACACATTTTTATAACTTTTACAGTTATTTTTTGATTTATAATAAAGTCTCAATAAAATTATTTTTTTTTATTTAAATCACATGATTAAAATGAAAAAAATCACTTGATTTAGATCATGCCAACCCTGCTTTTGACTAAAAACTTTTTTTTGTAAAAAAAATCCGTTTACTTCCCTATTCCTTTTATTCCAGGCGATCTAGTTTCGGGCCAGGAAATAAACATCCCCGAAAAAGACCGCTCCCAGGTCGGATCCAGGATAATCTCCATGTTCGCGGATTGCCAACGATTAGGATCCGTCCCCCCTTCTCCATCGTCATCGTCCTCACCGCCCGACGATCAGCCTGATGCACTGATGCCAGCCCCCGCGCAGAGGGAGTTTGTGCTCAGGGCTAATTGCGTTAGGCCCAATTTGTATTCGGCTAGGTGCCCGCAGTTCTTAAGGGTGATCCTGGATAAGAGGGAGTTTAGGTTAGTGGGTGCGTTCTCGGAAGACACTGCTTTCTTTTGAGGAGAGGAGAATCAGTTTTATATATTCAGAGAGATTATTCAGCAATATTTTTTAAGTATGATAAATATAATATATTTGGAGAATTACGTAAACCTAGAAAATTAACCTATAAATAATCATTATTGAATGTATAGTCAATGAAAATATTACTATGCCGAAGTCAGATTAAAATTTAAAAGCACGTAGCGATGCTTGGTTAGATTGGATTTCTTATTTAACTTATACTAATGCAATATTAATCTATAGACATCTATAATATACCGGTCTGGTCATCGAAACAGCGTGGTCTGGTTTTTAACGTGTAAGACAGTGATGACAGGTTAGTGAAAAATCAAATATATTAAAAGAGATAAAAGTTAGATTTATACATTTCTTCTATGCGGTATTGCCGGATTTGCATCAAAATTTCAAACCGTATAAGTAGGTGTTTCCAGAAAAAATCATCATTTTGTTGCATCTAGAGTTGGAACTTTTATTTTTCACAATGAGTTGCGTCATTTTACTACAGCTGTAATATAGATTTAAACAACTTTCTAACAGAAATGAGCATGATTAAATAGCTTAGATATATCTTCGTTTAAGTATTTTATTTCTCGTACAGACCGGCAACACTATGCCGCTTTATTTGTCTCTCTTTGTCTGTCCTTTAGTTAGTATATATTTATCTCTGGCATATACATTAAAGGACAAACGACGCTAATAAAGAGACAAGGACTAGTATATTAAAACTATAGACATTGATTTTTGTTCTGGCCCAGTATAGACAAGCTGTTGATATGCAGATTATTAATATTTGTTTACTAGTAAATTGTGACTACAGTGCATGATGTAGACACTATTAGGCAATATTAATAAATATTGCCTAATATTCAGATTCCTACAGTTTACTTTACTTCTATGAGTAAAACTCAAATATATTTACATTTTACATAATTTTGGAACAATTTTTATATAAAATAATTATAATAATTTTAAGAAAAAAAAAAAAATGTTTTTATATTTTTTAATTATTTCTTTATTTTTTACTTCTATTTGTGATGGTTATTTTTTTTTACTTTATATTTTTTTAAATTACAGGTTGTTTTTTTATTTATTATTGTTTGAAACATTAATAAGTAACAATATTTTGAACAAATTTTTTTTTTAATTTCTTTAATAATTGTTAAACAGGCATCCACGATGTTTTTAGTACTGAAATGATAAAGGGATCATTTTAACTTCGGTTAATAGATTCAGCTATATACTGACAGAAATGTTATAAAACTTTTAAATGTGCTTTCATCTTAAAATTAGAATAATGATGTTAATAGTTTAAAGATTTATTAATAAATATGACTTTACTAACCGCAAATAGATGTATAATTTGGTTGTGGTCTTTTTTTAAATAAAAGTTTTTTTTTTTTCTTTTCTTAAACCTTTAGAAATTTATATATATTTTTTTTCTCCTTTCTTGGGTATGAGGTTTTTTTTATTAATTGAAAATGGAAACTTTTTTTTTTATTATGCGACGTTTCGCCTCATGTTCGCTAATCTCACGCTAATCATGGTGGGCTTTCTCAGGCACTTTATTCTTGAAGCCGCAGCCGCCTTGCTACCACCAGTCTATATAGAAGAATGTAAGTGAATGATGTTAAGTGAATTAAATAAAGTTTTTTTTTTTTTTTTTTTTTTTTATTTCATTGTTTTTGTTTCCCCCCTCTCCTTATAAGTTTCAGAAAAGACCTACAGACTCGCTAATATTTTGCATCTCCTAATAACACTTTATTCAACAGTACAATAGAAACTCTTACGACAAATTCAGTGAAACAGCAAAAGACAGTAAAGATAATGCCTTACTTTGTTAAACGTCCAAGTACAGATTAAAAAAAGCATTATACAGTATGTCCCCGGATTGTCTTTACAAGAGGAAAAACTTTATTATTATTGGCATTTGGAAAAAATTAATATTAAATTCATAAAAAAAATTGCTTGTTCTAAAATGGTTAATCCCGTTTATACTTTTCCAAATTTTTGTACCGTTTTAGAGAAAATTAAAAAAAATATAATTCCTAAAATAAAAGTCCTAAAAATCAAAACGCGTTTCTATGGTAATATAATTTCGTTTTCATTCTTTGATAGATTGATATTGATAGAATTTTAATTAACATTATAGTAAGAGAGCTAACAACGTCAGGAAAACAAGTATTTTAAGACATCTGGCTCTTTGATATATCTTTTACTATATGCTCTCTAGAACAGCATGCGGCCCATCTGGCTGCTGGTAAACGTTGCTTTCCCTACTGCATTGAAGATCCTATATTTTTATTGGTCCTTTAAATTCTAAAGTATTGAATATAAACCGAACATATCTCCATAGCGCAGTGCGTAGAGTTTTCCACCACGAACCGATGATTCAGAGTTCGAATCCGGGTCAGGGCGAACTTTTTATTTTATTCGTTTATATTCTGATAGTAGAGTATTAAATATTTTTTTTTAATTACCAGAATTGTTAATTCTTTCGAATACTTTACTATCAAGAATATAAACGAAATAAAATAAAAAGTCTTTGACATGACCCGGATTTCGATAATGATCGGTTCGTGGTCGAAAACTCTACGCACTGCGCTATGGAGACATGTTCGATTTATATTCAATACTAGAATTTATAGGACTAAATTAAAAAAAATATAGGATCTTCTTCCGATGCGCAGTAGTGAACGCAACGGGTTTGGTTTGGTTTGGTTTGGTTTGGTTTGACTATACTCAGCGTGTGTTTATTTTCTGTCAATAATGACATGTATTGACTATTTCCATTCTAAATATCTTAAGAATGGCTCTTAGCGATTTTTACCAAGAGACATTTTTTACGTAAAATGTCATGAGAATATTTTTTTACTCAGTAGTTTTTATACAGGTACCGTCGAAAAGGTGCGCCCAAAACAGTTAAATACATGTAGGTGGCTTAGGCCCCATATAAGTCATATTGACATCAAAATCAAAATTTCTAACGTGCAACTCCCGGACGCCAATTTTCATCAAATATTGACGTTACTTAGAAATTATTTGAAAGAAAATCGAAATAAAAACAAATTTCACTATCTCGAAACTAAGCATTTTAGGACATACGACACGAACTTTTCTACTTATTTTTCATAATATGCGCCGAAGTTTCTGTAATAAGTTCGGACCACCCTGTATAAACTTTTTATTAAAAAAAAAAAAAATATCATATATTTTTTTTAATTGTGTTTTTTTTTTTAATTTTCGGAAAAATATATTTTAAATTGTTTGGCACATTTAAGCTTTTTATCTCTGTATTTTTTCATCAAACTTGCCGCTTAAAAATTAGCGTTTTTTATCAAGGAATCACCCCTTAAGGGGTTTTGCGTTTGTTTTCAAACATCTTGTATAATAAAATTGTAAATATTTTCTTTATTGTATCAAAAAGCAATGACTTTTGACCAGGGTTCCGATATGATTTTAAAAAAAATCGAAATTAGATTTTTTGATTTTCAGTTTAGTTTATCAGTTTTTTTATTTAAATCAGATTTTTTTGATTTTAATTCAGAAACAATATTTAAATCAGTTTTTTTTTTTTAAATTTTTCTTTTTAAAGTCCTATCCTAAATGGCTAAATATAACTCTGAGCGATACCGGTAACATTAACAATTCTACAGTGCGTTTGTCATTTTCCACATCGGTCACCAACCTATTCTGTAAAAAAAGTCGTTCGCTTCAGATCAAAGGATTTTTCAAGCGTCTCAAAAGTATTAATTTTTTTGTCATTTAACGCCCTAGGCATAAAGTAAAGCACTGTTACGCCTATTCACAAAAATACAGAAATATATTATTAAACTAATTAAGTGTCAAATTCAAGGAGTGTACTAATTGTTGCTCAGAATTGCTGTTTATATTTGCAATGTTTGGAAACCTGATTAAAATTATTTGTAATGTTTAAAAAAAATAGTAAGTATGTTCTATTCGGAGTAAAATGTACTTTTTGTGCCACCCTGTAACGTCGGAATTATAGCTTTACGATGGACCTTCAAAGGTATACAGCATCGTCAAAAAGTTTAAATTTTACTCCCTAATAAAACTACTTGCAGATCAAATGTCGAGGCCCCAGAAAACATACAACCGATTCAAAAAAAAATAAAACAACATTTTCTGACAACGATTATTATAGATTCTCGGGAATGAAGATATAGTCTCTATTTAAGAAGAACCTAGTTCTGGGGCCCTAGACTTTGCAAATGATATGTATTCGAACAACAAGATTTTTGTGTCACTTATATAAATTTAAAAATAATCTCCTGCATTTAGCGATCTAATGGATATATACGAAATTGGTGTCTAAAATCAGTCAACAATAATTAAATTATCCGAATAGATGTTTTATATGGATTTATAACATTTACAATTATTTTCGACTTATTATCACAATTATATATGTTATAGAAATATTTTTTATAGTTTTCTAGGACACATTTTTTATAGCTTTACAGTTATTTTTTGATTTATAATAAAGTCTCAATAAAATTATTATTATTTTTTTATTTAAATCACATGATTAAAATTTAAAATAATTTTGCAGAATAATTTGATTTATATCATGCCAACCCTGCTTTTGACTAAAAACTTTTTTGTAAAAATCAATTGCTTCCCTATTCCTTTATTCCAGTTTCGGGCCAGGAAATAAACATCCCCGAAAAAGACCGCTCCCAGGTCGGATCCAGGATAATCTCCATGTTCGCGGATTGCCAACGATTAGGATCCGTCCCCCCTTCTCCATCGTCATCGTCCTCACCGCCCGACGATCAGCCTGATGCACTGATGCCAGCCCCCGCGCAGAGGGAGTTTGTGCTCAGGGCTAATTGCGTTAGGCCCAATTTGTATTCGGCTAGGTGCCCGCAATTCTTAAGGGTGATCCTGGATAAGAGGGAGTTTAGGTTAGTGGGTGCGTTCTCGGAAGACACTGCTTTCTTTTGAGGAGAGGAGAATCAGTTTTATATATTCAGAGAGATTATTCAGCAATATTTTTTAAGTATGATATAATATATTTGGGTATGAAACTGAAAATTAAACTATAAATAATCATTGAGGCGAATATAGTCAATGAAAATATTACTATGCCGAAGTCAGATTAAAATTTAAAAAGCACGTAGCGATGCTTGGTTAGATTGGATTTCTTATTTAAGCACTGTGCAATATTAATCTATAGACATCTATAATATACCGGTCTGGTCATCGAAACAGCGTGGTCTGGTTTTTAACGTGTAAGACAGTAATGTAAACAGCCCAAATGAAAAATCAAATATATTAAAAGAGATAA